CTGCTTATACTATCCTCCTTTTCTTGCATTCTTTTTTCTTCTTGTTCTCATTAGTTGTTTTTTGCTTGCTTATGTTCCAAGTCATTGATTTGATTCTCGGCTTCATTCACTCTACTGTTGTTTCCCTGTAAATTGTTCTTTATTTCAATTAGTGTATCTTTGTTTCTGACTGGATCTTTTTTATACTGCTGTGGTCCTAAGTTCCCTGAGTATCCCTATAACCAGTGTTTTGAATGCTGCATCTGATAGATTGCTTTTCTCCATTTCATTTAGATCTTTTTCTGGAATTTTGATCTGTCCTTTCATTTGGGCCATGTTTCTTTGTCTCCTCGTTTTGGCAGCCGCCCTGTGTTTGTTTCTATGTATTAGGTAGAGCTGCTTTGACTCTGTGTCTTGGTAGTGTGGCCTAATGTTTTAAGTGTCTTGTAGAGTCCAGTGGCACAGCCTCCCCTATCACCCAAGCTTGGTATTCAAGATGAATCCTTTGTTTGGGCTGAGTATACCCTGCTCTTGTAGTTGAGCCTACATTGCTCTTGGCAGGTCAATGGGAGGGATTTACCCAGGCCAGTCAGCTGTAAGGATTGGCTATGACAACTTAACCGCCAACATCCTCCCTCCATGGAGGATCAGCTATGTAGGGGCAGGGTAGCAGCACCCTGATGTGGTCTGTAGCTGTCCACTGGGTGTACTGGCCCTGGTGTTTCCTTGGTGCAGACCAAGGTCAGCCCCCACTTGTTTTGCTTAGGGCCAATCTGCCTAAGCTATAAAGCCATCTGAGGTGGCTGCTACTTGTGCTGGGCTCGGAGATTCTCAGGTGAAGTCAAGCTGTGCATCTAGGCTGGCTGCTGCCAGTGGTGGGATTGGGGCTCACTGAAGCCAGCTGTTGTTTGTTTGAGGGGATTTAGGAAGCTGTGAAGCATGAGCCAAGACCATCTATTCAAATGGAAAGGAGCTTGGGTGGGCCAGTAAGTTGGTTGGGGCAGTGTCTCTGGGGATCCCCAAGGTGAGTTAAACAGTGATAGCCAGATTGATGGAGTCTCAGATATGGCACCAGCTTACTGGCTGTGGGGGAAGGGTATAGGAAAGGGACAATGGCCTCTGGTTGCCTCGATGCCAGACACTTCACTTTCTCTCTGTATACCACTGATGCCTTTCAAGCTGCTACCCTGGTGCGGGAGCTCAGAGAGAGTGAGTCTCATTGGTGAGTTGGTGTGTAGGATCTTTAAAGGAACTACTTGGGGCTCCAGGAGTTTCTTCCACCAACTCAATCCCCATTGGGTTTTGCAACCACTTGTTGAGACTTATCTCCCAGCACTGGAACCCTGGGCTGGGAGGCCTGGTGTGTGGCTGGGACTCCTTGCTCCTGAATTTCTATCCACCACATGTGGATGTGGGACCAGCCTGTTGTGTCTGCCTCCCTCCCACCAGTCTGGATGGTTGTGGTTTCTTTAACTCTGTAGTTGTTAGACTTTCATCCCACTCGATTCATGATGCTTCTGAGTGATGGTTGTTCTATATTTTAGTCGTAATTCTTATGTGGTTGTCCAAGGATGTGAGCCATGTCTCCTATACGACTATCTTGACCAGAAGTCCCTCCCCAAATTTTTAAAAATCAAATTTATTGGGCTGACATTGGTTGATAATAACTAAGTTTCAGGGACATGTCTTTTTCATATGACATCTGTATACTGTGTGTTCACCAAAGTCTAGTCCCTTCTGTCACCATATGAGTCCGTTTACCCTCTTCATCCTACCCCCACCCTCTCTTCCCCTCTAGTAACCACCATTCTGTTCTATTAGCTATTTTTTGTTTTTTGTTCCTTTGTTGCATTTTGTCCTGCATATGAGTGATATATGATTCTCATCCTTTTCTATTTCACTTAGTACAATACTCTCAAGATCATCCATACTGTCACAAATAGCAGTGTTCCACCTTTTTGATGGCAGAGTTGTAGTCCATTGCATATATGTGCCACATCTTCTTTATCCAAACAACACTTAGGTTCTTTCCATGTATCGGCTATTAATAATAATGCTGCAATGGATATAGGGGTACATGTATATCTATGCTCCAGAATTTGTTTGGTTGTTTTTTATGGTTTCGGTCTCTTTGGTTATTTTGTTGCCTAGTTTTATTCCTCAGCTTCATTGCACTGCCTTTTTGAGTTTTCTTGTATATCACTGCGTTTCTTCACAGCTGCAGTCTGAAATCTTTGCCATTTAAATCACCGTCCCCATGACTTTCAGTTTCATTCCTGGGACTTTGTTCCCAAGTTACCTTGGTTGTTCATGGTATTTGAAGGATTATTTCTCTTCCTGCACACTTTAGGTAATAAAACTGTTTCTTGTTTACTGCTAGGCTCTCAACAATTCGAGAGAGTGGCAGGCAGGTACTTTCTTTTTGATTATGTTGGTCAGGGTATCTCAGCTTTCTTTACCAAGCTCTGCTGGGGTGTGTGGAGCAGGAAGGGCAAGCACCTCCCAGCAAAGGCTGCCGGCACCACTGTTAAAACCTACCCATTTTCTCCACCAGGGAGTGTGGGGCAGGAAAAGGCAAGCTTATGATCTCCAGCTCTCCCTCCCAGCCAGTAATGCCTGTTGGTACCAATGTTTGCATTAAAGCTTCCCAGCCGCATCTCAGGGCTCTGCTTCAGAGGGGAGGGGTGGTGCCTTTTCTGGGCAGGAAACTGCTTTTGCCCTTCTGTCCAGGCTATAGTGTGGGCGCTGGAGGCCTTCTCCACGGCTACCATGCTCTATGGAGCCGTGGTGGACACTGAGCTGCACCTGCAGCCACCATCTCTGTCCTTCCCCCGTCCACCTCTCCCACTCATTCTAACATGCCTCCCTTCACAGGTCCCAATGTGTGGATCTTTCAGGCATGTTTGTGTATCGAGCAGGGGATCCTTTGTTGAGTCATAACTGTACAACTTGTAAACTGGAGGGGAGAAACAATGGAGTCTTCTCACTCCCCCAAGATACTGAAGTCAGTCAGGTGAGCTGTTCTTTACAGGGGTGGCTGTGAGGTTCCGCTGTCTGCATTCACTGCTTGGCCGGGGGAGTCAGGCTAGAATCTCTAGGCCCTCAACCTTGGCAGACATGCAGGAAAACTCAACAGTGGAAGGATAAAAGATGTTTGGTGATTTTAGGCCCAGATGTGGCCAGCCACTTCTGTTATTTGGTACCTAAAAGAACAGGAAGGGCACTGTCTCCTCACAGCCACAGTTCCTGACACCATGACCACTTGGACTTGCAGGAGCTGAAGTTACCTGGCAACTCAAGTGCCTGAGCCTCCAACTTGGAGGGAACAGGCATCAGGGCTTCCTGGAAGTGTCCGTAACCCCACAGCCATCCTCAGAAGACCAGCCAACATTAAAGATTCCAGGGGAATTTCTTCATTCCCCTAAGTGTCAGAACTGAAAATTAGAAATTGACACTTATCCCTAAAAGTTTCTGCAAACCCATTACACGCTTCATTTTCTCTTTGGGTTGGTGGATACAGCTGACTGATGAGAGATGCCTTTGCTATACCGTAAGAATAATCTCTATGAGCAGGATGGATCCCAGTCCGGTCCAGGGTGCTGTACCCTAGGACCCTGTTTCCTCACATCTGTCAACTCAGTTCAATTTTATGAATAGTATTGGATGGAACCACATGAAATTCTATTTTTATGGGTAAAAACGTTTAGGTATTGACAATTTTATGTTTAACTGAATAGGGTGGGATAGAATAATTCAGGGAAATTAATGAGCTTGTTCTTGAAGAGGTGTGTAAGAAATGAACTTTAGACAATCCAAAAAGAGGAATTTTTTTAAAGTCTACAGGATATTTGATAAAATTTATTGAAATTATTTATTCTAGTATGAAGTGGTTAAGTTCTAAATGCCTATAGTACATATCTTCAAAACTTCACTGTGCTATTATGAACCAGGTTGATAGTATTTTATAATATTTAGACAACAATATTATAAAATTTAACACTTTCATATTTATGAAGTTGAAAGAATAAAGCATCTAGGGCATTTTGGATATGTTAGCATTAAAATATATTTAAATACCTACTTGATGGGACAAAGGATAATGCAATGAAACAAGGTAATTTTCAAGCTTTTAAACTAAGACCAAATATGATTCATCCAAAGGACTAAATGATACTGTGGGCATTTATTTGAAATTACAAAGATTTTTACACAATGTGTGTGTGCAAGCATATGTGTATGTGCCATTTTTTAAAACTTCTTAAGCAGACAAATCTGAAAAGGGCCCTTGTGTGAGGGCGGCAACAGGGGCTGCTCTGCCACATCCAAGTGTCAAGTTTTCACGGAAGTGAAGTGGCCTCGAGGGCACTGTGTTAAGTAAAATAAGTCTAAGACAAAGACAAATAATGTGTGATCTCACTTCTATGTAGAATCTAAGAAGATTGAACTCACAGAAACAGAGAGCAGACTGGCGGCTGTCAGCGGCAGAGCCGGGGCTGGAGGGAATGGGGGAAGGGGGTCGAAAGGTACGAACTTCGAGGCATAAGGTCAGTCAGTCCCGGGGATGTGATGGACGCCATGGTGGTTCCAGTTAACAACACTGTGCTGTATATTTGAAAGTTGCTAAGAGAGTAGATCTTCGAAGTTCTTATCATGAGGAAAAAAAATTTTTTTAAACTGTGAGGTAATGGAAGTTAAACTTACTGTGGTGATCATGTCTTTATGTTCATATACTCAATCATTATGTTCAATAACTTAAACTAACACAATGGTATATGTCAATTACATCTCAATAAAACCAGAAAAAGAAATTTTTAAATAAGTGAAGTGGAACTGTAAGAAGGAGCGAAGTTAGATGTATGCTGGACTTGTAGAGAATGTCAGTTGCTACAGACCAGAAAAAGCATATCCTTTGGATCTGCTGGGAGGTAATGGTGGTTCCTGACTTTATAAGAAGTGGGGCAGCCCTGGGAACATGGAGCCAAAAATAAAAGATTTGATGAAACCTCATGAATCTTTTCCTCTTATTTTAATGGCAACAATGGTTAAATATGTTATAATAGAACATGACTAACATTTTATCAAAACATTTTTCCTTTTATAATTTTTTTAATATGGTATTCCACTTTTAAATGAAAACACATCAGATACTATCAATGGAAAAACAATTTACAAAGTTCTATTTACATGTAACTTTTCCAGAGTGCACCTACCGCATACAGCAAATATGTGGGTTATTTCATTCAAATAACAAGAATTTGTAATTTAACAATCAAGATAATCCTCCTTGGTATCTTTATTTTCTAAAACACAAAATGTTTATTTGGTCTTTTAAATGACAGGCACCCTTATCGTCTACTTTATTTCTCCTGTACTTTAGACTTCTATATACTAGCTACAAGTATATAGCACCAAAATCAATTTTAATAGTATCAACATTAGTAATTAACATTTTAAAAAATACAATTTCATGTAGACATACTAGAAAAATTAGAACTTTGGACAAGTATGAATATAAAATTTTATAAAATGGGAAATTAAAAGGTTTTAGAAAACATCAATTTAAAAACGCAAAGAATGTTCTTTGACTAGATAACCTGGTAAGTTTAAACCGGTTAAACTATAAAGTTTAAGGTCTTATAATGTCTTTGGTTTAAAAATCAAGACTACTTCACAACCCTAATCTATTACAAAATTTTAGAGCAATGTAGAAATCCCGAAAGTTACTAAAAGGTTAAGAAGTGCCAGATTTTTAAAGATCAAAGTAAACATCAGTTTTTCTCCCCTGTAACTACAATTCTTGAAAGATTTTTCTGTATTCAATCAGATAAACATTCACTTTTAATATTATTTAGGAAGAAATCTTTTCTTCAATTATATAATGAACTATTATAGCTCAGAAATGGAATGGTATAAGCAAAACACTCAACTTCTTCATACTTTGATAAATAATAAGTGATAAAGATATTACCCATGAGTATGATATACAATTCTAGGTAAGGTCTCACCTAGTTATGTTAAAAAAAGAAAAAACTTAACGGGAGGAAGGGATAACGTGTTTATCAATGTACTGACCTACAGGACAGTGCAAGCAGGGAGCCTTGCTCAAAGTGTAATGGTAGCCTTATATACCTGCTCCATGCCGGCTTCCCACCCTGCGGGAACAGTGCAGTCTCTAAAATCAAGTACATTTCCAAAGTTGTATATGAAAAGAGGAGAGAGAAAGAGAAACTTGCTAACTTAAAAAAAAAAAATCAGCAGCCTATAACTGAAAGGAAATAGTGCAAAGTCAATCTTTGGCCCCTTTAAAATGTTGAATACTGATTCAAAGAAACAAACACACCCTGTTAAGAAGGCTTATTACCACAGTACACAAGAAGCTGCCTACCTCACTGGATAAACTGTCCACCGTAAACTGAAGCAGACATTTTGTAATTCAATTAAAAATTTATGAAAACATTAACAGCAAACCTCTCTGCTACTCTGAAATGAGATTCTTTCCTTTAGAAAAATCTCCCTGTAAAAGATACAGCGAGGCCTGAATCTCTGAGGCCAGGGTTGCTAGACTCCTTTGGCCCTTCCCTTGGTAGCTGTGACGCCCCTGCTGGCTCCTTCTCGAGAGGCTGCTTGAGGCAAGGCAAGGACACAGGTCCAAATCCTCTGCTGGTTCTGCAGTCAGTCTTCCCAAAACAGCACACTGTTCAATTGTTCACTTTGACACTTTGAGTAACAGGAAGACATCTTTTGTTATGAAAAATTACTTTTACACAATATGGACCAAAAAAAGCACAAAATGAAAGGAAACTGATAATAAAAATTGGATTTAGGAAGAAGAGCAGTTTTCCTTACTGGTTGGAAAATTTGTAGTGAGTGGTGATTAAATACCATTTATGGAATCCTGCACTGCACACAAGAATGTCTCATTATATGAGCAACACCTGATTTATACGCATGACTGTTTCTAATTCACTTTACAGTAACTATCAGTTCAAATGACCGTTTGCATGCTCCTCAGACTTCATAACCATCTCGTTTACTGCTATCTTTGATTTCATGTGTTTAACAACAGTTTCTTATTTTTTTTTTTTACCCTATATAACCGTGAGTTAGCTATATGCCTTTTACAGGAAAATAGCTTTCCTACTCAGATGCTTCTTACTATGGGCTTTCACAAAACTTAATAATGTCCACATTATTGAAGTGAAAAACTGTAATGAGTTTAGACATCACCATAGTCTTAAAACTTTAGGTGTTACTAAGACATATCAGACAAGGGCAGTAACCTGGAATGCATTTTCTCTCTCCCAGAGACCTACAGATCTGCTTTTATTTCTGAATGGATGACTAGATTTTGAGTTATCTGTTTAAAAAATTCTGGCATTGTGCTTTATTGCTAGAAGCAAAAACCACACTCTTGCCAAGTTCATGCATTCTAAAACATGAAAAACTCTCCATGTCCTGAAATAAGGAAAGTTTTGAAGTGCCTTTTACCTAGGAGGTGCAACAGCAATTCTGATATCAGCCAACGTCCCTTTTAGATAAAAAAAAAACAGAAAAAAAAAAAAGAAAAAGATTGGTCCTTAAAATGTTCATATTATTCTATATGAGTGACTTCCTAAACTTCCTTATAATTGTTTTTTTTTTACTAAGACCCATAATAAACCTTTCAATTAAGCTAAATTTAAATTGATTTTTAGCAGAAAGTAAAAATAATGCTTTAAAATATAAAATATTACCTACTGTTTTACAATTTGAAACTGGCAACTTAAACTAGAAAAAAAAAAAAATACATGTAGTTTAAAAAAAAAAGAAACCAAAACAACAAAGAAAGAGTTCCAGTCTTTTCCCTTCTACCCAGGAAAATTTCTATCCGGTATCACCAACACGAGTCCGCGAGGACCTCTTGGAGTCCTCCAAGGGTTATGCCGTGGCGGCCTTACTGGTGGTCTCCTTCGACTCGTCTCTTGCGAACTACGAGAAAAATAAAAGAAGGTATGTTAGAAATCCCTGTCCATTTGTGCAAACCTAACTTGCTTGTTACAAACAAGTTTCTGTATAATCCAGCTATAGTTGCAGAAAAATGAAATGTCCATTTCCAGTTCATGTGGCCACTAAAATAAAAAAAAAATCACATGTTTCTTCCTTGTCATTTACCTGCTGAGAAGTGAGGGGCTTCAAAATGAGAACGTCAGAAATCTAGAACAGGACGGCCAGCAACCGCCCTCAAGCCACTGAGCCTGCCTCATCTGTTTATTAAAAAAAAGGTTACGCTTACATTAAAAATGATGAAGAAGTGATGCATCTGGGATTAGAAAGTATTAAACGTATCTGCATGCTCTTCTGATTAGGTCCTATAGTTTATTTCCTTAGTCTGTGAAAGAAATAGCAAAAATAATGCAAAATAATGAAAACCTCAGACCCTGGTAATGTGGTCAGGTCCCCGCTGGCTACCAAAACCGTGGCTGCCAAAGAGGTCAGCCAACTAGTTCGGCTGACGGAGTAAAGAAAGGTACCTACACCTGGGGACCCCCAGTCTCTTCACGGATTGGTGACCCTAAATCACTAGGCTGTGCTCACTTCTAGCAGGGCAAGGTCTTCAACTTTAGGATCTGGCTACCTTCACTCTTACCTATCAGCCACCAGAGAGCATTTGCCAAGAGCCACCAGGCCAGGGCTCCTCAGCATTGTGGCCACGCCCTATTTAGAGAAGACAAAAAGCACAGATTTGGAGTCAGCAACAAATAGTGTGAATCGTGGCTCTGTCACTTTTTTTGTAGTGTGCTCTTTGGCAAGGAAATTAACCCCTCTGAGCCTCAACTCATCCTCTGTAATAGCAGAACAATAACATCTGTACAGTATGGCCATGAAGTTAAAGACACGATGCAGTACTTGGCGTACTGAGGACATAGTATTCAATAAAGAGTACTCAGTGCCATCACCTATGGGTTACAGGAGGGTCCCGAGGTCCTGGCAGGCCATCTTTTCGGGGTGATAAAAGCCAATTTAGCTTTTATAGAGGATTTACATTTATGCATTATTGGTTTTGATACACTTACCAGTAAGGTCCTTTGTTTAAGTTAGATTTTTGGTCTATTAATTTTATACTCTCTTCTGTCTATGGAATCAAGTAGGAAGACAAAGGCCTTTGTTTAGTCTGCACTGACTGTTTAACAGAAAGATGAAAGCCCACAGGTGCACCTGGCCTCCTGGCCAGGCTACAGATGCTTTGCCCTCACGCTATTTGTACTGCTGGCTTTTTATTGGCCTTCAATAGATGAGACCAGACATTCAAGTGACGGACATAAAAGCCTGCCCCCCCCAGCCACTGGCTGGGTGCTGGCTAGAAAACAAAAACCAAAAGGACTAAAGGATGAAGTTCCCATGAACATTTTTATACTTATCTAATTAAGTACTCCCCCAACTCCAATTTTAGTTCATGTCAATGAAGTACAAGTTTCAGGGGGTTATTGAAATATTAAGGGGAAAAAAATTAAATGGAGACTTTAGTCCTTAGAGACAAACCTACTCCATATACATATATATATAGATATATATATATATCTATATATATATATCTCTCTGAAAAATACAGAAATATCTGAGAGGCAAACTAGGTAATTCTTTAAGGTAGAACATTTCCAAGAAAACGGGGAATTACAGCAGGATTTGGATGTTACTGGCAGGCCATTTCAAACGTTAAAATGCATGTTATTATTTTTTTTAAAGTGTTATACATAGGACTGATAGGACAGCGTGGAGCAAACAGAAACAGTGTAGAAAATTATGTAGTTAGCTGGTGCAAAGACAGGAATATGAGACTCAATTCAATCGAATACTGCACGTACACCATGACCTTCTTGCCGTTACAGCTGTGACAGATACTTCTTAGCTGGAGAGACGGCGATTAGGTAGGATTATTTCAATGAATAGTTGAGACTAAGAAAACAGCAAGAGGGAAAGGCGTTATCAAAATCAGGACATGAAAGATCTGATACAGCCCCATTTGCAAGGTGAAGAAAAATTATATGATCAAGAGGTTCTGTACAAATTTCAAGTTTTGTTCTTTGATCTCTCTCCAGGGACTACATGTTAGACTGCATGTAAGGATACATGGTCTTCAGACTTACCACCTTGATCTATACAGACAGAGATCAAAGTGTAGGTCTGAAAAAAAAAAATCAAGCCGAGTGCTAGGAGCACAACACAGCGGAAGATGGGCAAAGAGCCATTTCCGGCTCCTCTTTCTCATGTGGTGCCACTTGTCACCTTCAAGCAATTACTCCGTTCAGCCTCCGGATGAGAGGCTTAGAAATTTGGCCCCATTATCAATTCTTAGGAAATTTCTTTCCAAAACCCACTCCACAAATAAAAGTTCTCCCTATTTTGTGATCAGTTAACTGCGAGTAAGTCCTAATTAACCTCATATTCTATTACTAGAAACTAAAATGGACTTTTTTTGGAACTGTCAGTTTTCCCTTCGAGTTAAGAGGTTTATTTAGAAAGTCACAGAGGTAGAAGAAGTGAGCAGGAGAAGAAATGGGCCCAGGAAACAAATTACAGAGAGGAAAGGTAATGCGGGGTGAGGGCAGGGATGGAGGGATTGAGGGACGGGGGTGGGGAGGCACAGGTGTGCTCCCAAAGGAGGGAGAGCACCGGAACGATCATTTAACTCATGCATTCAGTTGTCTATGATGGTTCACAAATGCCTCCCAAATAAAATCCAAAAAAACCTAAGTTCTCTACCATGTAACCTTAGTGCCTTCTCCCAGCAGCCCCTCTTAATCTGCTGACACTGCTTTTTTTACTGTTAGCTTCAAGCAGCAAGTACGTTTGTAGTGAAAGTTTATTTTGGAGGCAGCATCCTCCTATGACAGTTCTCAAAATCTGCAGGCTTTCCTCAGCATATGCCATATTTTGCCGTGTGTAATACTCACTTTTTTGCCTAAATTTTTGAGAGGAAAATAAGGACATGCATTACACATGGGAAATTAGTACTAAAACGTGGGTGCACAATATACACAGCAAAATATGGTAAACAGCCTGCCTGCTGACAAATCTGAGCTTTTATTCATGCAACTCCCCACTCCAAGAATGTCCTTATTCTCATTTCATGTCTGAAAATCTAGTTTAGATAAGACCAAAACAGACTGGGGGGTTCAGGGGGCATTGTCTAGAGAGCCACCAGCACAAAGCTGTTTGCTCTCTCTTACTTCTGCTTCATGTCACACCGCAACTTCTTTAACGTGGCCTCTGTCACACATGGCCAAGGACAGCAACTCAACTACTCAATATCAACATAAAGCAGCCTAGGAAATAGTTTCTCTCTGTGTCCTCTTTTTCCATCTGCCAAAATCACCCGCACTCACTTCTTGCCTTATAGAAATCTGGGCAAAGTGCTGCCACAACAGCTCACCTGAAGAGCACGGCCACTGAGGCCCTGCGAGGGCTGTGGCCCTGTCCTCCGACGCGGGCTTTCCTGGACGCTCTCCTGCATGACAGCAGCTGGGACTGCCTGCCTGCTGGGAGGGGCAGGTCGCGGTGACAGCTGGGGCTACAAATTTGTTGGTGAGATCTTGGGATAGCTAAGGTCGTTTCACAGGACGCTTTTAGCTTGTTTATGGCCCGCTGCCAGCCAACTGCAACTTTGAGGAGGGTTCAAATTCTATCACTTTCTTTATTCACTTAATAAATCTGTATTAAGCACCTACTATTGTCAGGCATGGTTTTAAGCCGAGCTGTGGATTCAACCGACAGACATACACCTTGCTCTCAAAAAGCTCGGACTCTTTGAAAATAGACAATTACAATAAATTATAACTAAATTTCTAAGTAAAAACTTTTTTAGAGACAATAATCTACATGTTCTTGATGCTCTCCAAGTATCTGTGAAGTTCAGTTAGACTTGACAAACTCTACTCTAAAAAGCAAAATTAAATACCAGAAGGAAAATACAGAAACCAACTAGTGAACCAATGTTAAAATGATTAGCATGACTTGGCATACTACCTCTACAATCAAAAATACACCAAAACAAGCCAATTTTCTCTTTTAAAGAGCAAGAGGTGGAAGTATTCTATGGGAAACTATAGTTATGAAAGAACAAAAAGGGTTTGAACTAGTACTTTTCACGGAGATCTTGATTAAAGGAATGAAACTATATTTTCTTCTACTTTAGAAACCTTTAAAGAATACAAACTCAAATATGGCTGAAGCTTAAAAGAATGGCCTCACTTTGAAATGTCACTCCCTTTAGAAAGTTTTAATTCTTGTCTAAATGCAAGTTTTAAAATATTTCAATGACACAAAACAAACTTAAAAGAAGAGTCAACTTTTGGAAACATGTAGAAACAGAATTATAAGCATCATATTTTTTAATTCAGTTTTGGCTGGAAAATTTAAGCCATGGCCTCAGCAGGTCAATCAGAACAATGAATGGATGGGAGATCACTGGACTAGACGTGTGGAGTGAGAAGGCCAACTGCCCAGTAAAAGCTGAGTTAGGGAGACTGGTAAGTAGAGCAAACATTAACATGCCACCAAGCATAAAACTTGAGTTAAGGCCTGACCAGTTCAGTTGGTTGGGTGTCTTCCCCGCAAAGACAGAGGTTGCCGGTTCAATTCCCAATCAGGGCATAAGCCTGGGTTGCATGTTCACACCCCCACTCCCCAATGAATGGGGCATGTACAAGAGGCAACATATTGATGTTTCTCTCCCTCATTTTCTCCATCCCTTCGACTCTCTCTAAAAATAAATCAAATCTTTAAAAAAAAACACCCAAAAATCTTGGGTTAAAACTAAAATTATTCTCTATCATATAACTGCATTTCTATTTGATAAAAAAGGCAAAAGCTTTCCTGTAATGTTAAAATACTTGTTTTAATAGCTCCAAGGAGTGACTTGTAGCTGAGAATAAAATATTTGTTATAGGAAGTCAGATGTTCGTTGTAGGAAACTGCTCACTCAAAGCTGTTAAATATGAATGGCACAGGAAGCAGACTTTACTCACCAATCAACCCAATAATCCCTACAACCTCAGTTAAACTGAACTCTGATTCAATCAGTATAAAAAGGGACCAGGCAAATTTTAGAAATAAAGGCCAAATAATCTCTCTGTTAAAATATACTTTAAAAGTAAAAAAATTCTCTAATATTAGCTTAATGGCATTAATTCAGAAATTTGATCGGATATTGCACATGTCTTACCTAAGTCATTGTTTTTCGTTATAGCATCAGCTGCCCTGGTTCGGGGTCCCTGCTGTGTAAACTGATACCCAAATTTAAGGATGTTTGTATTTTCCTCAAGCATCTTGGCCATTTCCAATTCTACAGCTGTCCCCAACTGCTGCCTCTGGAATAATTAGAAATAATAAAGTGTTAATTAATTAGATGAAAATACTTTCCAAGGTAAGCCAAGACTAATACGTTGAGGTACATGCTGATTCTGCTGGTCTTTTAAAATTTTCCCAATTCTCACCACTAATTGTACATGAGAGAAATAAAGCTTTAAAGTTCAGTATAGATCATACAGGCATCAAAAAATTGTGAATTACCACAATGAGATACCCTTCATAACCACAGGACGACTATAATCAAAAAGACAGAAAATACTAAGGGTTGGCAAGAATTTGAAAAAACTAGGATGCTCAGACATGCTGGTAGGAATGTAAAATGGTACAGCTGCTTTGGAAAACAATTTGTCATTCCTCAAAAAGTTAAACACAGAGTTACAATACAATCTAGCAATGCCACTCCTAGGTATACACCCACAAAAAATGAAAACACATGTTCATATAGTAAGAACCTGTATATAAACGTTCACAGCAGCTTTATTCTTAATACTCAAAAAATAGAAACAACCCAAATGTAAAAGAGTATTAATAAGCCATAAAAAATAAACACTCATATATGCTACAGCATGATGACCCTCCAAACATTTTGCTAAGTGAAAGAACGCTGACACAAAAGACTACATATTATACAATTCCATATATATGAACTGCCCAAAACAGGCAAATGCATAGGGATAGAAAGTAGATTAGTGGTTGCCAGTCGGGGGGATGAATAGGGAGTAACTACTGATGGGCATGGAGTTTCTTTTTGAAATGAAGAAAATGTTCTGGAATTAGAAGTGGTGACAGCTGCACAACTCCATGAACACACTAAAAATATTAAATCAATAATCTGGACGCCTCCAACGTCCTCTCACCCCTCCATGCCACCACCTTGACAAACGGCTCCCTGAAAGCCCTGCTCCCACAAGCCTCCTGAGTCCCCAGCCCTCCGCAGCGGGGTGCGCCGCAGCTTCCTCGGCTACTGCTGCAGAGCACACACCTGGTTGTCAATCTTGAGCTCGGTCAGGGTCTCATTATCTCGTAAAGCATCAATGAGTGCTAGAATCCCCACTCCCGTAATAAAGTTGGATTCCATATTTAAGCCCTTCAAAGTTTTGTTCACTCTCAGCATATCTGCAAAAGCCTAGAAATTAAAGAAAATATTTGGAGATTATAATTTGACAGTACCTATTAAACACTGTACATTCCATAAACAAATATACTACTAATGTAACTGCCTTAACGTTCCTCATTAGATTGTTTCAGCCTGACACCTACCTCACAGGTCTCACATGTATCCCTTTGTACAGGTGCCCTGTCACAATCTGATTTTTTTGTCATGTGTAATTAATTCTCTTTTGGTAACATTTTCCTCTGCTATTTCCATTCTGATGTTCATTAGCACCCTTTGTTATGTTTCCTTCTCCTGTCTCTTGTCCTTTCTGTCAGTTTCTATGTAGGACTAACTTCATCAATGTCTCTTTGGAACATCTCCTCTGGGTTCTGGGGCAGCTGGATTACTGCGAAGCCAAAATGAGGGTAAATTATGGACTAATTTCCAAGGTAGAGACCAAACGGAATGCCTAAGGCACAAGGCCAAAAAAGATCACTAATAACTGGAACTGCAAGAGCACAAAGCCTGCAGAGAAGAAGGGGCTAACTACATATTCAGTTCCTCAAGGAATGCTGTGTCCTCCATCTGCTTCCATTCCTTTCTCACAGGATATGGTGGTGCTAGGCATTCAACCCAGTGCTTAATAAATACCGTATTAATTAATTCCCTAACAGAAACCTGTGAAAAGAGGAGGAAAAGGAAAGGGAGGGAGAGAGGAAAACATTAGAATATAAGTGAGTTTATATAAAATAGCCCCTTTTTAGGTATGAACTGGAGATGCTCACACTGGGGTCAAACATGAGGTCAAACTCCAGAAAACATAGTAAGATTCAGCTTAAAGTCAACTTAAAGAAAAGGCAATGGGAGGGGGCAGGGATACTAGAAAGAACTTGGAACAGATTACCTACACACTGTACTTCCATTAGTGACAACTAACTATGTGACCTGGAACATATCCCTTATTCATCCTTCTGTACATCCATCCATTCACATACCATCCATGGCTTATTATTTAATAAGTACTATGCTCTAGATTCAGAAACAAAACATGCCCGACGGACCTTGCATTCCAGCGGGGGGTGGGGGGACTAGATAGTAAGTAAGCAAAATGTAACGTCAGATGGAAAGCAGGGCCATAAAGGAAGAAAAAAAGGCAAAGGACAGTAGATAGGGAGTGCGTGGGGCACAGTAGGGATGCTATTTTACACAAAGTGGTCAGGGAAGGCCTCACCTAAAAGGTGATGCTTGAGCAAAGATCCAAAGCGATGACATGAAATTGGAGTATCTGTAGGGAGGGAGTTCTAGGCAGGAGGAACGGCAGCCTGCACGGCCTATCTGAGGAAGAAAGGAAGGCTGTGTGGCCATAGCAGAATGAAAGAAAGAACAAATAAGGGAGATGAGGTCTACTCATGTAAGGCCTTACAAGGCCATTAAAAGATTTTGATTTTTACTTGAAGTGAGATAGGGAGCTTCTGGAAGGTTCTGAACATAGGAATGAGATCATCGTTGTGCAAATAATTGGCTTTGGGGCGAGTAAGATGGAAGCAGGAAGCTCAATTAGGAGGCTCCTGCAATAGCCCAGATGGGGTGAGGTAGTGGCTTACATCAGGACAATAGCTGTGAAAATGGTGAGAAGCGGGCGGATTTGAGAAATATTGTGAAGACAAGGCTGGATATATATTTAAGGTTGTGAGGAAGGAAAATCAAGGGTGACTCCTTTTCTTTTTGTCTTGAGCAAATGAAACAGTGGAGTTGCCATTTGGTGAGAAAGGAAAGAGTGTGAGAGAAGCAGGAATGGGATGGAAACTAGGAGTTTGATTTGGGCCTTAAATTTGAGATGTCTATTAGACATCTAAATAAAGCTGTTAAATAGGTGGCTGGACGAGGGTATGGAGTTTAGAGGAGAGGTATGAACTGAAGACGGTAACACCGGCAGTCATCAGCATACACAGATTACACAGAGCAATGAAACAGAATGGAATCACCCAGAAAATGAATGTAGACAAGAGAAAAGAGGGCCTACAGCCAAGCCCTGAGCTGTCCCAATGCTTAGAGGTTGGGGAGAAGAGAGGGAACCAGTATAGGGACAAGAGAAGGGATGTCCAAATAAGGCAGGAGGAGAATCACAGTGAGTGAGCGATGTCCTCAAAGCCAAGCAAAGAAAAAGGTTCACACCATGATCGAGAGGGATTTACCCCAGGAATGCAAGGTTGATTTACACACAACGATTAAGCAATTTAATATACCACATTAATAGAATAAAGGACAAAAACAACATGATCAGCTCAGTAGCAGCAGAAAAAGCATCTGACAAAACCCAACTTTATTATAGACCCATAAATGGAATCTTCTGCAGGTGTTAAAAATCTGGCGTGCAACTTTATGTACTGATATGAGAACATCTCTAATATACACTGTTGAATGAAAAATTAAAACTGCAGAATGGCATATATTCTATGTGTGTGTAAACATAAACATGACTTTATGTTTAAAAATTATAGAAAAGAAATACAGGGGAAAAAAACATAAAAGAGCAGTTAATAATGTGCTGCTTAATAGAGAACTAAACATCAGTTGAAAAAAGGGAGTAAATCTTGTTCATAAAATCACAGTTTAGCCATCTTTGTAGCACCCTGGTATGTAGTTATAATTTCAATATTATCAATAGTTAACTTACAGAGAACAAGCGGATGGATGCCAGAGGGGAGGGAGGTTTTCAGGGTTTGGGTGAAAAAGGTGAAGGGATTAAGAGTTACAAAATAGTCACAGGGATATAGTTGATAAAAAATATTTTAATACTTATGTATAGTGCCAGGTAGGAACCAGTCTTAATGGGGGGATCACTTTGTAAGTTATATAAATGTCTAAACATCATGCTGCACACCTGAAACTAATATTGAATGTCTACTCTAACTGAAAAGTTTAAAAAAAGAGTAGCTTACTTACAATAGCAACGGGGTCATTGCTCCGCGTGGCTGCAAGACTGAAATATTTCACATGTGTGTTCTTTTCCAAAGCCTTTGCAAAATCTTTTAGGGTCGGAATTGGAATATTCTTGAAAAACAATAAAACATTACATTTCAGTTTTCAGGGCATTCAGTCCATTAATCAAGTAAGTACTTGTTATTTACACCTTTTCTTATTAAAATGTTCTCAGGAATTATATAAACACACAATAGTCTACAAATGAAAACAAATAACTCTGACTTCTCTATCATGGTATATCTGCAGAAACTGTAGACCCAGAGCTGAGTATATATCATCATTTCTCTTTCATTTAGGTTACAAAAGCTCTTGCTATTCTACATTTAATTATTCATTTTACAAGAAACATTTGAGTATTCAAAGTGGATCCATTTTCTACAAAAGAAAGATGTGGGAGCTCACCTCTAATGATTATGCTTCCTGAGACAGGGGACATACTGTTCTTAGTCCCTTAGTTTCAGCTACCAGGTATTAAGAGAGATTAACTCTACATTACTTGAAACATGTAAAGATATAGTTCTAGAAGGCACTAATTTTCCTCTGTAGTCCCAAGACTTTAATTCCCTGTAGCCTGGTTATTTTCAGATCATTACTGTTGATTTACAGAGATATAAAGACTGAATTTTTAAAGAGTGAATAAAATTAATGACCAACTATGGATATTAGCTTTTCCCGAGGCTTACTTTCCTCCCCCCACAGGAAGGAACACCCACTAAACGAGTGCAGGGGACTTAGTCCCTAGGCTCTTACAATTTCCAGATGCTTTTTCCATCCCCAATTCAGATAAATCAAGATTTAATACTCCAGAGAAATGAAAATGTGTTCAGGCAAGACTGTGAGAATGTGTATAGTGGCTTTATTCATAATCATCCCAAACTGGAAGCAACCCATATGTCTATCAAATCATGAATGGATAAACAAATTGCATTACATCCAAACAACAGAACACTACCCAACAATAGAAAGGAACAAACTACTGATACAAGTGAGTGACAACATGAATGAAGTGGAAACGCATTATGCTAACTAAATGATGCCAGACTCAAAAGGCTACATACTCAAAAGGCGTGTGACATGTTCTACATCTCATTGCTAGTGATCGTGCAAATGCATTCATTTGTCAAACCTCACAGAACTGTATACTAAAAAGGGAGAATTTTACTACTATATAAATTATACTTTAAGAAAGAAACCTGATTAAAAAAAGAAAACCCAAAAGACCTAATGCTCTTAAAAGTTGGCAGTATTTTGAAAGCTAGAGAGAATTACACTGACAGTATGATGGAGTCTACATATTTACATGTTAATCTTTTTTAAAAAAAGATTTTATTTATTTTTAGAGAGAGGAAGGGAGAAAGAGAGGGAGAGAAACATCAATGTGTGGCTGCCTCTTGTGTGCCCCCTACTGGGAACCTGGCCTGCAACCCAGGCGTGTGCCCTGACTGGGAATCAAACCGGCGACCCTTTTGTTGGCAGGCCGGCTCACAACCCACTGAACCACACCAGCCAGGGCTATATGGTAATCTTTTAAAAGGCAAGTCAGGAAAGTACTACCTCACTCTAATTCTAAAAATATGGAGGAATCTGTGTTACCATAGTGTTAGGAGCAAAAACTTTACCTTTAAGCATTAATAGAAAGAATTATAATATATCAAAACTGCCGAGCTCTCATCCTAGATTCACCTGACTCAGCAATTCACAACTTTGTTTGCTCAGCACACATACCTTTATATTATTCAAATTAACTTCAACAAGACGAACATCATTTTCTTTAATTCTCTTTAAACTCTCTTCAACGTTGGTTGGATTTGGTGGCTCATCAAAAACTGGAAGAATCTTCTCACCTTTTACCACATCTGTAGTAACACATGAGAAGAGCAGGAGTCTCAGTGGTTGATACTATTACAGTGGGTGCACACATTAACTTGGTAACATATAACACACCACATACACACATATTCAGTAGGACTAATTTAAAGTTTCTTTCCCATAATTTCTAAAATATCCTTTATGTGTTGACACATAACGTGCGCAAATTAAAATTTTAGTGAATATATATAAAAAAATAATTCAACATTTTGTTTACAATATAGGTGAGAGAAGTACAGAATACCTCTTCTTCCCATGGGGAGTACTGCACATTGGGAAGGGGGTAGACTCACTACTGCGAAGAAGTGTAGGAATGAGGAATGGGAGCAAAGAGGAAATAATACACAGAAGGGCTCCTGAGGCAGAAATTCCAAAAATTACCTTTCTTCACTGCTACCCCCAATGATATACTACGTATACTATACCACATATACTATACACACACACACGGCCAGGATACAACTATGCAAAGTTGAAAGAGGACCTGGAAGTCCTGAAGCCTCTAATGAAGTATGTGCACTCTGACATGTGTGTAGCGGTCTATGAACACCTATAGCAGGCAAACTTTTATGGATAAGTTTTCTGAGGAGAACATCTATTGCATCAGATTCTCAGAGTCAAATGACCACAAAATGTTAAGAACTGACATGGAAAGACTGACAGTTTCACTGTCTGGCTTAGTTATTCCCATCTGCCCTCTGCTAGCCTCTAGCTTTTAGGAACAAAACTCATCTTAAGACAAGGTATACTGCCTACTCATCCAATAGATCCTCTCTAAGAGTACCAGGTTCTTTCTGAACACACACACGCATAGCAGCCTGAGGAAATCAACTTAGATGAAGGTCTCCTGAAAACAGTAGAAGGATCTAAATATAGTTGGCTTGAAAGTATATATTAAAGGAAAGTATGCATGTTGTCTTCAAGTTTATCTTGCAGAAGAGAGAAATTTCAGGTTGTTCTAAAAGGCTGGGTTAGAAGAGGTATAGAGTGCCAAGAGGCAGGGTTTGATTCAATACCAAGCGGAACTTCCTAACAGAGCTCTGCTAGAAGGATCGAGTGGGCTCCCTCTCTCTGCAGTCCAGCAGGGTAGTCTTTTCCAAGATGGCAGATTGAGAGGGCTGGAGAAGAGCTTCCTCACTGAATGGAAAGTTGAACAGATTCTTCTTCAATTCTAAATTTTCTAAAACCCAAATGATTTCTTTCCCCACTCTACAGAATATGTGTATTTAAAGAGCCTTGCTCCCTAATGAAATAATGGATCCAGTCAATGGGTTGCTGAAACCATTTTGAAAGGAACTTTAAATGAATGGATTAGGATGCTAAAATCTGAGCCCACTGACCACCCTTAACACATTTGCCAAAGAAGTATGACCAGACTTGATATGCTTCCTAACATGATTTTATTACCATCTTGGAAGCATTCTCACCAAAAAACAAAAACCGAACAACTGCACCTGAATCTTAGCAAGCCTCTAGAAAATAACAGTTTACAGAAACAGGATACACAGAAACATGTAAAATGATATCACAAGGTTGCAACCAGCCAAATCTAGAATATGGAAAATTCTACATAACTAACAAGCCAGTTTCTTAAAAATAGCATGAAGAAAGGGGGAAAGAGGCTGAGGAGGGGAACTATTAAAAAAGAAAAACTGAAAGCAAATAACCACCAAATGCAATCTGTGACCCTTATCTGGGTCCTGATTTGAATAAACCAACTGCAAAATGATGTTTTTGAGAAAACAGGGGAAATGTGAACAGACTGGTATCAGATGAAAAGATGGAATTATTAATTTTTAAGTCTCATAATGGCATGAGACAAATGGGGAAACACACATATGGAAATATTTATGGGTAAAGTAATACAAACAAACAGGATTTGCTTTAAAATATTTTGGGGGAAAAAAGTAGAAGGGGTGGGGGGAGAGGCAGAAGATAGATGACACAAGGCTGGCAAAATGTTAAAACATCGGAAACTGCATGAGGAGTATATTGTTCTCTCTTCTGTTATGTATGCTTGAACATTTTTACGACAAAAAGTTAAAGAACAGAGGGAATGGCCAAATCATAGAACATTCACAAAATGGAGTGTTACACAGATGTTTGGATGAGGTAGCTCTACATGAACTAACCAGGGAACATGATATATTGCTAGTGATTTTCAGCTTTTTTCAAGTCATTGCACACACAAACTAATTACTAAAATTCTGCAGTACACTAAAAATATATATTTTTTGCCAGTCTTATAAAAAATATAGTATAATTTTGATTTATTCACGCCAAACAGCTATGGTTGTGTTTGCGCTTGTCATTTTTTAATTTGACAATCTAAGGGAAAAGAGGTCAGTGCCCCTGACTAAAGAGTCAGGTACTGCATATTTTAAAAATTCTTGTGGCACACTGGCTGAGAACTGCTGCTACACAGCATGGATTAAAATCTTTACCACTGATTGCATGTGACATTCAAGTTAGTTATTTAAATCATTCTAAAATCTCAGCTCCCTCATGTACAAATAAAGGATAAAAAAATACTTCATTATTGTTGTAAGGAAAAAATAAGAACAATTCATATTCAAGAGCTGTGCACACAACATGGCCCAGCGTCAGCATTCAGAAAAATCAGCCAACAGTATTATTTTTTAAAAATTAAGTTATAGGAAATGTCTATAATATGATCCCATTTGTGTAAACAAACATAAAAAACGACTACACGTACATATATAAGTTCATACAAACATTGTACAAAGTCTAAAAGGATGCACCCAATTGTTGACTGGGTTGGGGGTGCAGACAATAGAAAGCATGATGACTATGAACAGACACTTTTACTTCCTACCTTATACAATTAGGTATTATTTAAATGTGCTACACAAAGTATATATTACTTTGCTAATTTTAAAACATTCTGTATATAAATTTTTAGAAAAGCTTTGCTTTGGACTATTTAATATTTTGCATCAGACTAAAAGGTTTAGCGGTTGAATAGTTCTGTAGTTTCTCCTTAATCTAATTTTATATTGTACTTTGTCAGCACTGTTATAGATTTCTTGAAAATCAGTAACATTGAAAAAAAGAATGTCAACAAAGGTCAAGTTTGATTAGTACTTATACTGTTTAGCATTAGTATTATCAGTGAAGTGAGTGGTTCCTATTACAATTGCTGACATTAAGCACAAAATATTTAATATTCTATTTTCAATGGTTTTCTATATCAGTACCCTCTAACTAGAATCTTACCTTTCCAGTACATATGCATAATATTTGATATGTATACACTGAAGTTGATACATGGAGAAAACAAAATATATTTAACAAAGGATTAGAATTTACAAAGCATTTTAAGTACTTACTTGAAAAATGTTCTTGGTCGACACCATTACTACTTCCAACTACATTACAGAACTGTGTATTTGTTATCAAATTGTGCATCCCAAGAATAGCTACAGAGATAGAAAAAGAGAGTTATTTTTATTTCCATCAGTTTTAAACATAAAAAATTAATTTTATAACCAAAAATTTCTATCAATGATTGTATCATTCTATGGACATTTTCCAGTTCAATTAGCTACGGATTTTGCATTCAAAAAAGGGGGTACAACATGATTAAAAGTCACCTAGAATCCCTTTTTCATCAATGCCCTTATTTTCCCCACAGTTCTGAATTTAGATTTCCTCACATTTCTGAATTGAGACACATAGCTGGAGCCTAAATGCAAAAACCTTACCCTGAATGCGAATCTACGCTTAGCTCCATCTGGTGGCTGAGAAAAAAAATTAAAGTGATCTATTTTTGCTGTTCATCCTCACAATGTTTCTAGCAACATAATCTGAAAGAATGCATATTTTCAACTTAACCCTCATTGTTTTTACTTTCGTTAACTCTCATATTAATTTATATTTGTATTTTAACTAAGAGCAGAATACTAAAAATACAGCTGAATTCTCATATTTAGCATTAAAATAGCGTCCACCCAAAATGACAGGTGAAATAAATTTGGTATTTGTTTTTGATGCTCTTTTGCATAAATGAGGCAGAAGCTACTGAGTGCCCCTGGCCCATTCCACTCTGATGAATGTACAAATCCATCAATCCTACTGCCCCCCTGTTATAAGACACCTGCTCTGGCTATGGCAAAACACTGCAATTGTCCTTTTCCTGGTTCCTTCCCAAAGAATCAGTGTTGATCCTTTCAAATGTGTTAGTTCCTGGGGTTACTTGGGACTAAGACCTCCCATGTGTCCTATTTTTCTATCTAGGAAAATGGGTGTGTGGAATAGGTGGCGGAGATCCTGGTCCTTAAAAGAAACTGGCAATGATGAAAGTAACAGTGAAGTTTGGAGTGTTCCATATATACTTCAGAGACACTGGGAAAATGGTGAGTATAGCTCAGGGCTGATGGTCTCATCTGCTTTCCAGTTACCCTCTTTGGTTCTTTCTGATAAAATGGGACAGCAGTTGACCCTGGCAACTCTTTTCTGGTGCTCAGATGGGACAGCTTCTAGCTGAGCACCAGCTGATAAAATATTTTTATAAAGATTTTAAAAGTGGGCAACATAGGAAAAGATGTAAAAAAATACAATTCCATTAACATAAAAATTTCACCATTGAGAAAATTTAAAGGAATGTGATTCTTTATTTCAGATTTAGAGTACAAAACACAAAGCCAAATATGAGGTCACTGATTCAATAGCACTTTGCTGGGCTGAGGAAGTATTTGCATGATGTATATAGGTGTGTGCTGGTATTCCCCTCCCCTCCACACTCATTCACAAATTAATGTTTTAAGGAGATACCTGCAAGGTCACACAATTCTGTATCAGAAGCACTTGTCAAAGCTTCTTCTAATTCTGGATCAAGAGATACCTTTTCTTCTGTGAAAGTCTGTACAGGTTTCTGTTTAGGGATAAATATTTTCCCTGTAAAATAAAGTGGTTTGTTAATTTTTTACTGCTATAAACTCTATCATTTTACCCTAACAAAAATTATTAAAAGTATGTGCAATTAAATCTAAAATAAGATTAACATTTACGATAATTTAGTTTCTTCTTCAATATGTATTTATGAGTTTCCAGAGTAGCACCATAAAAGCTGGGAAAAACTAAGAAATTTTCCCATTTGTGAAAATATAAATTGGCCCTTTTTTGAGTAATATGAGTTACTCTACAATTACTGAATGAAAAGATAATGAATAAAGAAATAAACATAAAAATCTATAAAACTTTAAAAAGATTAAAAGAAATTTCACTTTCTTATTCTTAAGCAACAAACTGTTCCAGGCCCGCGGGGGATGGCAGAAGTAATTATTCGAGAAATTCTAATTCTAATTGCAAAGAAATTCCTGCATGTCTTGAGTGGTAGTCTGAAACTTTTCACCACTGTTCTTAAGGCTTGATGGACACTGACAAGGTCACCTATTGAGAAATTAGTTATTCTAGAAACCTAGAGTATTTATTATGTGAAAATCAGTATTTTATTACTATATGTTCAATGCAAGATTAAAAATATAAAGGGACTAGTAAATAATAATGATACAGCTGAAGCACAAGCTGAATAAAGAAGATGTACTCACATATGGTAGGGACTCTGTTACCAAAGTTGCCTCTAGTTTCTCCCCAAAGACAGGTGACAATTCTAACTAAACAATATGGAAAGACCTATGTGTGGATTCACAGAAATTCCAATTATTTTGTTTTTTATCAGGAAGCTACCAGGGAACCAGGTGAGAATATGTGGCCTGATGAATCTATGCAGTGCTCCATCAAAAGGAATGTTTGTGGGCTTATAATTAGTGCAATGAGTTGTGTAGTTCTTGTTCAAGTGAACTATCAATTAGTGTAAATAAGGAATACTTTCACAACACAAACAATACAACCTGCTCCCAGGAATATGGCCAAGGCTGGTTAGGCTGATTTTCTGTTAAGCCCATCTAAAGGATCCTAATTTCTCGTATTATTTTTTTATTTTTAGCATTTCTATTTGGTTCTTTTTTAAAAAAAAAGTTCTTGCGTCTCTGCCAAAATTTTATCTCTTCACCCCTCTTCTGAAGGGCATGTCACCTTCTGGAATCATTTAGATTTGTGTCCTCAAATTCTCTGAGAGGTTTAAAAACCAACAAACCAACAAACCAAGAAACAATGATTACATAGAGTTAAGTAAACTGCCTGTTTTGGTTGTTAAAGTGAGAATCACAAGTCTTTTGCAACTTTGTACATCTAAATCGTAAGTCTTCCTGGTCAAGTATTTTCTTAAAAAATGGCATTTGGTCAATCCACAATGTATTTATATTAATAAGAACTTTTTAAAAACTTTATTTTTATTGTTGACACTATTACAGATGTCCCCATTCCTCCCTACTTTGCCCACCTTCACCCAGCTCCCAACCCCACTTCCTCTGGCCATCACCACATTGTTGTCTGTGGTGATGCATATATGTTTGACTAATCCCTTCACCTTCTTTCATCTAGGATGTTTCTAACTACATGGAACAGAATACCCAATTAAAAGTGGTTTTAAGCTGATTCTCAAGCTTTAATGTGCATCTCATTCACTTAATGATCTTATTAAGGGAGGTCTGATGTTCACTCAGAGATTCTGCAGTTCTAATTAACCTCCCAGGTGATGCTGATACTGCTAATCCACAGACCACTATAAAAAAAAAACCACCCGTAAGTATTTTTATCTCACGCAATAAGTCCCCAGGTGTGTGGCTGTTCAGCAGCTCTATGTTGACATCAAAGATCTAGGCTCTGTTCATTTTTTCTCTTCTGCCATAACCAGAATTAAGGCCTTTGTTCATAGCCCATCAGTTTCAAGATAACCTTTGTAACACTTAAGTATCAGGTCCTCATGCAAAAAGACAGGACAGGACAGGAGGGAGGGAGGGAGGGAGGAAGAACACTTTCTCAACTGCCAACTCTATAAAGAAAACTGTCCAGTAGGTTTCTCCTCTAATCTTACTAACCAACTGTGGGTCATACGACCAGGCCCCAGCTATAAAGATGGCTAGGAAAGGTAGCATCTGGTATTTTCAATGTATTTCAGAAATGAGTTCTGCTAGTAGGGAAGAAGGGATCTGTGAATGAATATATTTGTCTCAATACTGAACCCTATGAAGTATTGTTCTGTGTTCCCTTAATTCCCTGAACATTTTGCTATAGCAACACTTACACATTCTGCATTTTGTCTGTCTTCTGTTTCTGTGAGCTTTTCAATGTTCTTAAGAGTTGTGCAACTATCATCCTAGCACACAGCAGGCAATCCAATTTGTTGGATAAATAATTTAGTGATCACCTCCAATTCCACTACTATTTTGATAAGGTATAATTTGAAGTTCAAAGTTACACAGCAGAGCTGACACCAGAACAGATTCCCAAACTCTAACCTAGTGCTTCTTCCAATAAACTGGTGGCCTTAAACTTAACTCTTCATTTATTTTTAGAGAGTGGGGAAAGGAGGGAGAAAGAGGGAGATGGACAGGGAAGAAAACATTGATCGGTTGCCTCTCACACGCTCCCAGCCGGGGAGACCTCGCCCACAACCCAGATATGTGCCCTGATGGGGAATTGAACCAGTGACCTTTTGGTTTGCAGAATGATGCCCAATCCACTCAGCCACACAAGTCAGGGCTCAAACTTAAACTCTTTAGCAGTGGACTTTTCCCCTCAAACAAATGCCTATCTACATGGTGGTATGTATAACTGATCTTCTTAGTGCCAAATTTTAGAGTTCTGGTATTTATTAAATAATCTTTTTTTAAAATTTATTTTTTCAAATACATTTGTCTCTGCCTACCCCCCACCACTTTCCCTTGCCCCCTCCCTCCCTCAACTCTTCCCTTTGGTTTTGTCCATGAGTCCTTGCTATATGTTCCTTGACTTTCCCCTTCCCTTTCTTTTCTCCCGCCACCCCACTTCCCTCTTGTCTCTGTTGGTTTCTGTGTTGCTGGTCTTATTTTCCTTGCATCTTTGTATTGTTGGTTAGGTTCCACTTATAGGTGAGATCATATGGTATTTGTCTTTCGCCCCCTGGCTTATTTAGCTTAGCATAATGCTTTCGAGTTCCATCCATGCTGTCGCGAAGTTTAGTAGTTCTTTTTTAAAATAGTCTTTATTAGTGGTTCATGAAGGCAAATTCAAATCATTACATCCTGATAATTCCATAGTACTTTTCACAGCGGTTGATATAATAAGTGGCACATAACTGAGATGGCATACCTTAAACTGCCATTTCAGGGTACTTACATTTCCCTGAGGGCAATCTCATGCGCATCTTTGGATGTCTATGGCAGTAGTTCCAATGTTGGCTGCACATTAGATTCACCCAGGGAACTAAAAAAATTCTGACGTCCAAGTCCCAGCCCTGGAGATTCTGACTTAATTGGTCTGGTGTGCTGTAAGGGACATCTGGGTTTTCAAAAGTGTTCTAGGGATTCTAATGCACAGCAGCAAAGGTCAAGAACCACCGGATTATGTCATTCACTTACTAAACAAAACCACATAGGCTATCAGATAGCTGCCTATGTCTCATTCTAGGAACCAATGGAATCTAGAGCATTATAAAAATCTAAAATGTTTATTTTTGCAATCTTCATCCACATTCCATGGAGGTATTATTCGTATCTAATTTTTCCTCATACATAAACTTTTGCTAATACTTACATGATAAATCTCATCAGAAAAACAAAACAAAATTTCTAAGGGCTTATGAATATTGTTCTGTGATATAGAACTTTGCTCACTCGCTCTCTTAATACAGCTCTGAAAGGGCTCCCCTGGCAGTCCTCTCTATTTTCTCTGTACAGAGATTTGGGTTGTGGAAGTAGTTAGCCTATTATATACAATGTTGCATTTTTAACAACACAAAAAAGTCATTACTTCATATTTCTTCATGGTTAGATTAACAGTAATACAGTATAAGAATTATCTTGTAACGTGTACATATAAAATCTATATGAAGATTATAAAAAATTAAAAATAAAGAAAATTTCTTTTCTAAGAAGTGATAAAATAGGCAGAACTTAAGGTTAGTACTAAGAATACAAAATCTAAGGGGCTTTCTCCAAATTAACTGATAGACTTGAACAAACCCTTAACATATCTTAGCTGACTACTTGCATAAAGTGACAAGGTGATAAAAAATTCATGTGGAAATCCAAGGTACCCAGAATAGCCAAATAATCTTGAAAAAGAAGAACAAAGTTGAAGGCTTCATACTTCCCAATTCCAAAACTTAATAAAGCTACTGTAATCAAGACAGTGTATGGTACACAAGAAAAGACATTTAGATCAATGAAATAGAATTGAGAGTCCAGAAATAAACTATTATATTTATGGTCAACTGAAATTCTACAAGAGTACCAAGACAATTCAATTGGGAAAGAATTGTCTTTTCAACAAATGGTGCCGGGACAACTGGAGAGCGACATGCAAAAGAATGAAGTTGGATCTCTGTATCTCACACCATACAAAATTTTAATTCAAAATTCATCACAGGCCTAAATGTAAAAGTTTAAACTGTAAAATTCTTAGAAAAAATCGTAAATCTCCATAACCTTGAGTTAGACAATGGTTTTTTAGATATAACAACAAAAGCACAAGCAACAAAAGAAAATGTAGGTAAACTGGACTATATCGAAATTAAGAACTTTTACAGAACAAATGCTACTACCATCAAGAAAGTGAAGAAACAACCAACAAAATGTGAGAAAATTTTTGCAAATCATATACCTCATAAGTAACATATCTAGAATATATAAAAATGTTTATTGATAATAAATCAAATATTGATTGATATAAATCAATAATAAAAAGACAAAACAATTTTAAAATGGGCAAAGGAATTGAAGAAACACCTATCCAAAGATTCAGCTGTCTATAACAGCACATAGAAAATGCTCAGTATCATTAGTCCTTAGGGA